CTGGCGCTGGCTGGTTCCCAGGCTCCCTCCTCCTGGGTCTGTCAGTGCAGGGAGGTCGGGGAGCCCTTCCCCAAGCCCTGGCTGCTCACAGAGGGGAGCCGGGAGGACACTGAGCGGGACTGGAGCCGGGGAGCAGCACGCGCAGACCAAGAGCTCAGAATCTTCACGTGAAACTGGGAATGCGCAGCAGGTGGAGAGGAGAGAGGCGGGCGGAGGAGGGGAGGGGACAGAAGCCACAGGCTGGGCTCTGCCCTTGTCCTTAGGGTATCATCAGGAGCAGGTCACGGACACCAGCGTGGGTGGAGGCCAGGTGAGTGGGGCGGTTGGTGACAGTCTTCTCCAGGAGGGTCTGACTGTGGACGTTTACGTCAGCAATACCAACCTGGGCCCTCCCTTGGATCCAGGGAAGTAGTCTGACCCCTGTCTGAATGTAGAGCTCAACCCAGCATGTACCCGTGGATTGTGGACTTCGGATCTTGACTTGAGTCCCAGCTCTGCCACCCACCAGCTGGTGGGAAAGCCAGAACGACCCTGTGCCTGGAGCGTAGTAGCTGCTCACCAAATGCCAGGAGCCGGGGCTACCAGAGCAGAAGCACCCAGCAGAGTGCAGAGCTGGTCCTTGGTGTCCTGGGGTTCGCTCCAGCCTCACTCTGCCTCACGGTCCCTTTCAGCTTGCCGGGGTTCTTCCCGGTGTCATGGGCCAGCGAATCCCGTTCCTGGGGCTGAAAGGATCATTTCCCTTTTTCAGTATTCATGCTAGAACCCACCCAAGCCCTAGTCTGTGGTGCATGAGGGACGGGGAGAATCTCGGGGAGACTTCATGCTCTGGCCCCAGAACACTGTCTCCTTAGTTCCCTTCATGGGAAGCAAGGGACATTCGCTGTCACAGTTTTGTCATGGCTTATCCCAGTGACTGCAAGATGCCAGAACCAGGCCTCCCCACCCCACCCTGCTGACTCAGCCCATCAACAAGAGTGATCCTTAAACCCCAAACCCCCGCACGGCACACCTGAGCCCTGAGTGCTTACTTCACCTCACAAATATCGATGTTTTGCCACTTACCGGCTGTACAAATGACCATTAAGATGATTTGTGGGGCACAGTACACACTGTTAACCCATAAATGATGTGCAGACGTGGGCCATAAACCATGACACTCAGGATCGGAGCGGCGCCACGGTGGGCAGTGTTTCACATCTTAATAAACAATTACTAGAGCAGATTAAGAGTAAAAAATCCATCCAGGAGGCCAGTAAATCAGACTGGAAACCGCAGTCCAGGTGCGGGCAGCTCGCACTGTAGCTTTAGGGAGCTCTGCCTCTGCCTTCCAGGGTTCCCGGCCGCCCGGGAACACAGGCTTCCTGGACGTGGTCCATACTGTGAATTCTGACTTGAGATTCTGCGGAGGATCGTGGGAAGTCGATTCTGCAACACGTGTGCGGTTGTTGGTGTCGATGGCTGTTAGTCTGGGGCCCTGGGATCTGGAGACAGTAGGGTGTTTTTTGGTATCGGGTGGCTCAGGGGGACAGCCCACACCCACAGGCCCGGACACACGGTCTAGTCCTGCAGATTGGGGGACCCAGGAGGAGCTAGGCACCATCTGAGTGCAGCCCCTTCACGTAGGACTCAGCCCTACATCAGAAAGACCGGAGTCAGGCTGAGATGAGGGCGGCAGAGCTGGACGGGCACACGCACGTTCTCCCTGGAGGGCTCTCTGTCGACCTCGCCTCAGTGGCACTGGGAGGAGGGGTAAAGGCAAGTGCCACAGGTGCCAGACAGGAGGGAAGGCCAGGGCGCTGCTGGGAGACAGAAGACAGTCCAGGACAGCGCCCAGCCACCCGCTCGTCTCACCAGCTCAGGGCCAGGCCTGCTGCGTCACCAGGATCCCCAGACCTGCTGAACAAGACACCCACTCCCCACGGGGCCGTGGTCCTCCAGCGCTGGCGAGGAGAACCCACCGAGGGCAGAGGGGCAGGGAAGACAGCCGCACAGGAAGGGCCTTGATGCAGGAGGGACACGTGGGGCAGGGACCAGGCTGCCAGGGAGTACGCAGGCCACCTGCAGAGCAGGGCCCCCTGTGCAGAACTGGACAGGCTCTGTCCACCTCACCCCATGGGTGCAAAGAAGGTATCTGTGGGGCCAGAAGTGGTGCCTGGAGGTTGGGATGGGCCATCCTGGCTTTCTGGTGAGCGTCCAGTGCTGACCAGGAGCGGGGTGAGCTAGGGGAAGCACTTAAACACCCCAGGGCCTCCAGTCCTCCTTAGAAACACCTCAGGTAGAGAAAGGCCACTCTTGAGGGTTGGTCCATCAGGTGTCCTTGTAGGGGGGCAGAGGAAGGGAAGCGGCTTCGAGCAATGTCCCATTCCTCTAGGTGCCGGCATACTGTCGGCCATGAACAGGATCCCAGGTACCTGGGTTGTACAAACCAGAGTGGAACTGGTGTCACCTGCACCTGACTCCCTGTGGCTCCTCCCAGGGTGTCCCCATTCCTTTTTAAACCGTCCACTTCAAACAAGCCGCACAGAAGTTTTAATCGGAGCATTCAGTAGCTCTCAGCCCTGTCACAGGAGGAACAAATGTGCCGATCCTCAGGGAGGGTGGTGCATGCCCAGAATCTGGATCGTCGTGAACTCTGGAGCTTTGGCAGAGCGGGTACCCAGTAGATCCCCGCAGGCTCCATGGCTGACCGTGGAATGGGCGTCCTGTCTATTCTGCACCCTGGCAGAGCTCAGGGACACTCTGCGGGCCTTCTCACCCTCCCAGACACCCAGACTCCCCCGGCAGCGGGTCTCACCCACCCAAGCTCTGAACACAGAGCCCCTCCCCAGGCGGGGAATGAGGAGAAGGTCCCCTGCAGCTGCACTCGCCTGCCCCAGGTGGACCCAGGGAGGTGGTGTGTGAGTATTAAGTGCCAGGTGAAGGCGGCCCCTGGTTTCCCCGGGTCCCCTCAAGGACCCACTGCCTGGGGACTCTTCCCCAACATTGAACCTAAGCCTGCTCTTCGGTCACCGCACCTTGGAGGTGACTCTGGGTGGCTCCATTTCTGCCTGAGCGAGACTGGGTCCCGTGTCCAGCAGACGCTCTGTCCCGTGTCCAGCAGATGCTCTCCATTGGGCATTCATCGTGCAGATCGCAGCCTCGACTCAGATGGCGAGATTCCTTGCCAAGGTGTCCCAGGGAAGGGGGGCCAGGCTAGAAGGCGCTCCCTGAGTGGAGTTGTATCGGGTCAGTACTGTCCTTTCACATTTCCAAGCTCCACCTGGCCAGGGGGACTTTTCTGAGGCTCTTTGTGTGCCAGGGTCCCCCTGCCGTGCCCTTAGAGGAGGAGAGCTGCTGCTGGAGGGGTGAGGGGCCCTTCAAGACAGCGGAATAAGGAAGGGCCGGGAAACCCTGCAACTGACTCTGATTCCGAGAGACCTAAGCTCTGAGCACAGCTCCAGGAAGACGTCGGGGTTCCCATCTGTGAGCGAATGAAGCCAAAGGAAAACCAGAACCCGCCCAGGCAGGAGGCCGCTCCTCCGGCAGGCCCGAGGGTGGGTCCCTGTCCGCAGGCCACCTTTCTGGGCAGGGTGCTGGGGCTCCTCCATCTTATTTCTTGCCTCAGCACCAGAGTGCGACGCTCACCGTCCTGCCTTCCCAGCCTCTTCAGAAACAGCCCAGCCCTCCAGGGACAAAGCCCCCATTGAGGGGGGAAGCCGCCCGCCCGAGTGGCCTCTTTGGCACTCACCCAGTGAACTGGCTCCGCCCTCCTTGCCTCTTTGTCCCCTTCAGAGCCTGATCTGAAAGCCGATGTGGGAGCCCCTCTGTGCCCTGGCACAGCTGCTCTCATCCACGGCCACGCCCGTGGCTTCGTGGGTGCTGGGCGGCCTCACTGTCCACCCGAGCGCTGGGGCCGGGCTGTGTCCCTGAGGCTGTCAGCATCCAGCATGGCCATCTAAGCCGCAGATTTCTAAACTTGCACCAGAAGGGATGTGAGCAGGCCGGATTGTTTGTTTCCTTTTAAATAAAGTGCTCCTTGTTGGTTGTGTGGGGCTGGTCCTCGGCAGTCACGGCCACCTGATCAGCATGCAGGGGCTGTAGGAAAGTGATGGAGGGGAGTCTCCTGCTTTTCCTTCCTGGAGATGTGGAGCGGCACGTGCCAGGCATTGGAATGAGGCTGACTCGGACTCGGACAGGACGGGAGCGGAGACATGCAGGTGACCGGCGGCCTCGGGATGACTTATTTTGCTTGGTGGTTTGGCTGGTGGGAATGTTTGCCTGCCTGGGGCTGGGGGCTTTCCTTACGCTCTCCCTCAGCTTTGGTGCACCTCATCACCTGCTGCAGAAACGACCTTGATTCTCCAGAGTGTCCTTCAGGTTTCCTGGTTCACGGGCTGTGGAATGATTGACCCCTCTGGTTCTCATATCGTCTGTTTGTGTGTGTGTGTGTGTGTGTGTGTGTGTGTGTGTGTTTAAAAATAATGGAGACACAAATTGCTTTTCCTATGAATTTTTTTTTAACAAAGCTGTGCTTAAGAAATGCTTGCACTACCTTTTAACAGATGAATGGGTAAAGAAAATGTGGTATATACATACACAGTGGAATATTACTCAGCCTTAAAGAAAAATGGACTTATGGCATTTGCTGGTAAATGGATGGAGCTGGAGAATGTCATGCTAAGTGAAATAAGCCAATCCCATAAAACCAAAGGCCGAATGTGTTCTCTGATATGCAGATACTAATTCACAATAAGGAAGGGTTAGCTAGGGAAGAGTAGAGGTACTTTGGATTAGATAGAGGGAAGTGAAGGAAGGGGAGGGAGTTTGGGGGAAGGAAAGATAGTAGGATGAATCTGACATTATTACCCTGTGAACATTCATGACCACAGGGCTGGTGGGATTCTACATCATGCAGGACCAGAAGGATGCGAGGTCATGCTCCATTTATGTGTGATGTGTCCAAGTGCATTTTACGTCGTGGGTAAGTGATCAGAACAGATTTTCATAAGAAATGCTCACGTCATCCTCCAGGTGTTGCGTGTTGCGGCAGGGTGATGACAGCTGCGGTGACACTGTTCATCTTGCAGTCAGTGCAGTTGGGGGAGTGGCCGACGTGCCTTATTCCCACTAATACGCCCCCATTTCCTCATCGTCACTGGTCACTGTCCCCTTCCCCTCAGAGGACAGCGAGCTTGGGCACTGTAAGTCGGTGGCTTCAGTCCTCCAGGCAGGGACAGCATGGAACCCATGTTGGCCCCCAAATAGTGGCCCTGCTCTTGGTGGCCCTAGGAATGGCATTCCAAGTTGACAAAAACAAAAAACAGCAAGAAGTGGCCTCTGAGGTGGCCTTTCCTGAGCCTGGACTCATCCAGCATGCAGATGGACATGAACTGAGGTGGTGTCACCTGGACGTTCAGGACGCCGTCTCCCGTGACTGACTTCAAGGCTGTCATCGTGGACACGGGTATCCAAAGTTGCTGCTGTGACGGAGCACACTTGAACGCACGCACACTCCAATGCCTTTCTCTGTCCCTCCTCTGGTATGTAGAAAACACCAAGAATACTTATAAAAGATGCCAAGAGGGCTCTTCAGCAAGGCACTGGACAGTGTCCTGATGCCCAGGGTCCCATGTTCCTACCCTGCACTTGGGTTTTGGCCTTGGGCACCCTCCGTCCTGTCCCTTGTCCCTCTGAGGCCGGCATGGTCATCAGGGAGGAGGTAGCTGGGTGGGGCCCATGGAGGTGACCATCCTGAGATTCCTTTTGTTCGGGTTTTGGGAGTGGGACTTACCCAAAGGTGCTTTGTGACAGTCTCTAATCAGAGAAGCCAGACCCCTCCCTCCAGGGTCAGAGTTCCCTTTGCCCTCCCACCCTCTGCCAAAAACCAGTGCAGACGTGAGACCCCGAGTCTTCCCTGGGAGGGGCATTGCCTTGCTGGAGAGGAAAGTGTGATCATCTGGGGGGCCGATGGAGCCAAAACCCGCGAGAACATCTTAGGGCTTTGGTGCCCTCCAACCCTGCACAACTGCTGTGACTCGTGGGGGCTGAGAATGGATTAGGTCACCATTTTCCTTCCAATGCCAAATTTCCAAGTGACAGTAGAATCGCTGCCACTGCCCAGGAGTGAAGGACAGGTTGCCCCCCAGAGGCTGTGGGGAGAGGCTGCGGGGAGAGGCTGCAGGGAGAGGCTGCAGGCAGATGGTCTACGTGGGGGACCCGGGTCCTTGAAATGATCAGTGTCTTATCGAGCAGCCAGTGTTTACTTCTTAAAGCACCTGAGATGGGACACAGGACGTCAAGGGGCCGGTGCTGGTGTGCTTGGAACATGAACTTTAAAACCTGCCTCATAACTGACGTGAGGTGAGGTCGCACCCCAGGAAAGGGACTGCAGATGGCTGAACGGAAACAGGCTGCGTCCCTGGAGGGAGGTCGGTGTTGCTGCAGGTGTCCTGCCCCCTCGGATCACTGTGAACCAGCACTGCACTTTACAGACGACCCAGCAAGTCTCAGCAAGCACAGGAATCCCAGGACACAGCCACCAAACAGCTGGCCACGGTCCAAACAAAGGCCTGTGTCCAGGCACTCTTCTCCCTGTCTTCAGCAGGGGCGTCCTCTGTCCAGGTGCTGAAGTGGAGGTGGATGGAGTCTGGATTTCTAGAGGCAGGGGTCTCAGCGGGGTCTGTCACCGGGTGCCAGGTGTGAGGTCCTACAGGCAGGGGTCTCACGTGCCTGCAGGGAAGGTGTGACCGACGTGTCATGCCTCTCCTCTCCACAGGAGCTGTGACGTGGAGGGTGGGCAGGGGCGCTCGGTCCCCTTCTCCTGTAACCCCGGTCATTTGTACCAGGGCGACTTCCCCCTGGCTGTCCCCAGCATGCCACTCCTGCCACATGCCTCCCCGGCGTTGGCCTGCCTCTCCAGCCTTGTTGGCCATCTGTGAGGCAGGCTGCCGGCCAGCTCGAGGGGCGCGAAGCTCTGGGAGGCAGCCGTCACCTGCTTTCTCCATGGACATGACCCATGGAGGCCAGCCACGCCCCGAGCTTCCCTCTAAGGAGAGGTTCTAAGTCCTGCTCCAGCTCGGGACCAGGGCATCACCAACGGTGAGCCCCAGCCCCAGCTTCCAGGTTTAGCCGCCCGAGTTTCCCGTCTGGAGGGGCTGGGCTCATTGTCCACTCAGCAAAGAGCTGGAGAACGGGGGACGGGAGACGGCAGGGTGACTGCCAGAGCCACAGAGACAGCCCGCTCTGAGAGGAGGGCCGGAGCGGGGAGTCCGGTGGGCAGTGTGGCCTGCTCTTTTGATGGCCTCCGGACTCTCCTGCCTGCCCTCCTCCCCGCCCATGCGCCCCCTGCTCTTATTGACCAGTGCCCCCTGTGTCCACGCGTCTCTTAGTTTTCTCTCGTGTCCCCCACTTAGGAGCACAAGTGTGGAGGGGTCTGTCTGATTGGGTCCCCAGCCTATGTCCATGGGCGCTTTTGTCAGCCCGGAAGTTGACCTCATCAGAAGACCCTCCCCACGCTCCTTGTTCTGACCCTGTCCCCACCTCCTCCCTGGCCATCTTGCCCTGCTGCTTACGCCCTCCCACATCGCCTCCCTAGGAGCTGGCGCTCAGTGCCTGACACCTCTGTGTCTCCTCCTTCTCAGGCACGAAAGGCCCGTAACCTGAAAGGGTCACCGTAGGGGTTAAGTGGTGTTTCCTGGCACCCGAAGAAACGGGAGTGGCCCTCGCGGCTGTCTCTGAGCCTGGGCAGCTGCGTGCACCATGTGCTGAGACACCGTGCTGGGGAGAGACCACAGGGCCTCCTTGTGCAAGTGGAGCCAAGAGGGGGACTCTGCCAGCATCTCACACTCTCGCTGCAGCCCTGTGTCCTGAGGGACCCCGAGTAGCCTGGCCACACAGTCGCCTTGTCCTCAGCTCAGGGCAGTTTGAAGATGCCCCTCATGTCCAGCTGTGCCGCAGGGTTGATGCTAAGGTTCCAGCACATTCTGCGCCTTGTGTGGTCATTTGTCTTAATGCATCAAAACAAAAGGTCGTCGGGGACCCAGGGAAACCTCGGCTCGCTCACTGTCGAGCCTGGGCAGAAGGAACTGGAAATCTGGTTCTCGGGGAACTCCACCCGCAGTAGACTCTCCCCGGTTCTCTGCCTGGCCACTCTTCTGTGCAGATTGATGCAAGGGTAATGCAGTCACCGCCTCACTCCGGGGGCCCTTTTAATTAGAGCGCTGTCTGCACACACCCTTCTCACTCACAGATGGCCCCATGCCGTCGCCGCACGTTAGATTGTTACCAGTGACCAAACCCGGGGCTTTGGGAGGATCTCTCCTTTGCAGATCCTGTGGAGTACAGAGGACTGCTCCCGAGTCCAGCTTGTTCCACTAGTCCTCACGTGGGTTCACACGCAGAGGCTTTGAATTCTCAATCTAGGGTTTAAAAAATGTGAATGGTTGTGAATCAAACAGAAAAGATCAAACCAGCCTTTCCTATCCCTGGATGCAACTGTGGGTTTGAAGAGTGATGTTTTAGGCAGAGATTAGTTTTCAGAACATTCAAAGATTCCACTGATAATATTTGCAAATCCTTTCATATGCATGGAAAATTAGCAACTAAATCTGGCCATTAAAACATAATCTTTATTTGACCAAAGCATGGTATAAAAATGGAATAAACTGTAATTTATCTTAGCTGACAGCTAATTACCTGCAAGTCTGATTAAAGGGAAAACTAAATTTACTTAATTAGTGTTTTGGTGTTGAGTCTGTGTACATATAAATATGCCTATCTGTTCTTCTACATGAACATTGCTAGAAATAAATCACCATTTTCATTTGGTCCCATTCAAATGCTGCCAAACTGGGGACCTCAGAAGAATGGGGATCCACTCACAATGGGAACAGGTGTTGGCGGACTGTGAGCCCATGAGGAGGGAAGAGCTGTGGAAGCAAGCACGGGATGTTCACGGCCAAGGAGTTCTCTTCTCCCCAGCGGCGCCTCCTCTGTCAGCCGACTTGTGGAGTGGACCGGCCCTGCCAATAAATCCTGGCACAGTTGGGCAGAAATCTGCATATAATTAAGCCCCCGAGGCGAGTGGGCTTTGATGGCTCAGGAGCTTGTTTAGAAACCCTCAAAATCACTTGCTCGTTAGGCGTGGCGTGGACAGGGTTCCTATGCATGGTCTGCAGAAGTCCGCAGTGCTGTGGCCCGCGGTGGAGAGGCTCCTGAAACTGTCTCGGCTTCTCCCACAGGCGCCGTCGGACAGCTGCGGCCCAGCTCAGGTCTGTAAGAAGCCCTCTTCCTTGCTCAGCCTCGGGAAGATGAGAGCTCACATCATACAGTTTTAAAAGTGATCTGCAAGTCACAGATTTTGACAACTGTTTCTGAACTAGAGAGGATATTCTTACTTATATGGAAGACCTACCCACAGTTCCGTGTCACACTAATGAAAATTGGGCGAAAATACCGGTTTTAGAAAGCATTGGAAGTTTCAATCAAAGTTCATAAAGAAATGAAAATCTTAATTAAATCTGAAACTCTGCTTCCCAGGTCTGCGGTTTTGGATCATTTTTAATTCTCACAAAACTCTCTCTTTGAGATAGAACACACGTGGCAAAACAGCCAGTTATTTAAAGGAGAGCATCCGGGATCAGTGCCAAAGCCCATGAAAGTCACTCGAGAGCTGTGGACATGGATGCAGGGGGCTGCCACGTCCTCACTGCAAGCCAGGGTCCGCTCATTTCATCGTCCTCACTCTTCTGAGTGGCAGGATTGTCCCCCATGATTGGCAGTTCTCCACAATCACCGCATCTGACAGTGTTTCTGAAATTGCAGGTGGAAGCTGAGATGCCGAGTGGCACTCATACTGGGAGCCTGGGAAGGACCGTCTCCAGCAGATCCTCAGGATGGTCTTTGCCCTTTGCCCAGCCCCTGGCCTGAGGCTGAGTATAGATACTTGGTCACTTTCCGACTCGTCCCTGTGTTTGCCACTTGACTGAATGGCCCCCAGGCTACACGACACACAGGAATGGGATACAGTTGTCCAAGCCCTTTGTCCTTTGGAGCCATGGACAACACTGGATGCTGTCCTCTTCCGTGTCCTTGTCTGGTAGTGGCCCTTGGTGATGGTGAATGTGGTCTCAGTCACCCGTTCAGCTCACCATGAGAACAGGCCTGGTCAGGGCCACCCCCCAAGGGGGCCGAGAGCAGACCACGGAGACGTCCCATGAACGTCTCTCTCGGGCCAAGAACAAAAGGGCGGGAGGATGTGGTTTATGGTGCTTTTTTGCTGATGTTGGAGGGGAGCGGGGTTGGAGTGTGCAGCTACACACGGCCACACTGGCTTGACTCGGACGTGATTGCCTTACCGGGCCGGGGGTGCGGTGCTGAGAATTGCCAGGGCCGCTGTGCGGACGGCTGTTTGTGGATCGTCTCCAGGAGATGGTCGGGATGATATGGTTTTTGGAAAATAATAAACTTCCCGTAAGTCGCTCCACGTGTGGCTGGCAGCTGCCTGGGCTGGCGCCCGCGCTCCCGAACCTCGCCTTATATGGCGTGACCCATCAGGGTGCTGTGCTCAGCTTCTCTGCCCAAAACCCCAGTGCGGAGAAGACATCACATTAGCAGAGGCCAGATTCAGACTCCAGTCATTTATACTGAAGTACACTCAAAAACAAGTGTTAGGACTTTTTATGTATTTTTCGCGTGGACGATCTTTTGAGTCGGTTCTGGCTGGAGTTGCCTGCCGTCCCCAACAGGCAGGTCAGTGCTCACCCCAGAGGATGCTGGGACGGCAGGCCCCACCTCCACCCTCAGGAGGGATGACGCATGTCAGATGCACAGACCTGTGACACAGCCAGGGCTGCAGGAGGCAGATGAGTCACGGGTCACTTTTCCTGAAGGATACAGAGGGGCCTCTACCTGGGGCTGATGGACAGTCAGCCTGGGCTGGAGCTGCATGGAGTTTGGGGAGGGGAGAAAGGGGTAGACCCAGACCTAAGACAGAAGTTGAAGGCGGAGGCTTCTCAGTGCCTGGAGCGTGGCAGTGTCTTCTGTTCTTGGACAGGAGCTTGCTCATCCTGTCCCGCTGCCATGCTGGGCTGCTCAGGGGAGGAGTCAGTCCTGGGTGTAAATCAGTCCCCAGCCTCCCGAGACCTGGGCTGGGTATGGGAACTGAGTCATTAAGTGTGTCCCTGGCAGTCCCTGCCCTACAGAGGGCCTGGCCCAAGTGCCAAACCGGGAGCCAGGCACTGTTCCCAAGGAGGTGAGGAGTGGTGGCCTCCTGCCTCCCCCACCCCAGCCTCTAGCTGGAGGAGACCCTGCCTGCCTGTTCCCAGGGGAAGGACACGGGCTCCCAGCAGGACACAGCCTGCAGGGCAGAGGAGCTGCCACGTGACCATAGCAAGAGGGCTGTTTAGGACGGGGCCGTAGTGAGGAGGCCGACCAGTGTGCCCACACAGATGACAGGGGGCACCCCTGGGGTACAGCCGGGCAGGACTCCAAGCCTCATGCCGAGCCGCGGGCTGGGTCCCTGCTGCCTCTGAGCACTGGCTTCTCACCTGAGCAGGGCGTCCGAGAGGCCCCTCTCCACCCCGGGCCTGGGGGGCCTGGCCTGGAGGTGGCCAGGCCGGCTGCAAAGTGGGCATGAGGCTGAAGGCGTGGGAGACACCCCAGTCCACCCCTGACCGCCCCCTCTCCAGCACTGCCCCTCCCCTGCTGCTTCCACAGTGTGACCTGGTACAGAAAGTACAGTGCAGAGGCAGGTTGGGGGGGTGGATTTGGTCCAGGAGGACGAGGTGCTGGGCCCAGCAGAGGAGACGCACACACACAGTGTCGAGGCCCTGGCTCCGTCTCTTGTCCTTAAGCACAAGCTGTTTAAGGACTGATCTAGGGATCGGCTCCAGGGTCCTTTAGTGTGTAGTTTGCTGTGTGAACCAGGCACTGAGCAGCTTTCTTCTGCCTCCGTGCATTTCCGTGTTAGAGATGTCAGCGTGCTCAGCAACAGGGGGCCCGGAACAGGATGTCCAGGCATGCTCGGGGCCTGGCCCTGGCCCAGTAGGTCCAGCATTCCCAGATAGCTTCAGACCTGGGGCCTTGCCTCATCATCTCTTGGGTAAAACTTGCAGTAAAGTTCCTTTGTTCTTCCTTGTTCAACTGCTTTATTGTCTTCTAACAAGAGCCTGGTCAGATTCAAAGTGCAGTCGTCCCTCAGGATCCACGAGCGGCCAGTGCCAGGATCCCTGCAGACACAGGAATCCGGGGATGCTTGAGTCCTTCTGTGGCATGCTGTGGTATTTGCCTTTACCCTCTGCTCATCCACCCTTGATTTCAGTAATCTCCAGGTTGCTCATGCCGTCTAACACAGGTGGATGCTGTGTAAGTAATTGCTGTGCTGTATTGATTAGGAATAATGACAAAAAGGGTCTGTACACATTCGGTACAGAAAGTACAGTGCAGAGGCAGGTTGGGGGGGTGGATTTGGTCCAGGAGGACGAGGTGCTGGGCCCTGGAGAGTGAAGCTGCCTGCGGCCTGCGGCAGTGTGGGAGAGTGCCATTTCCTCTACATCCTTCCTCACCCTCTCGCGCAGGGGTTCAGGCTGAGCAGTGTTCTGACGGTGTTTGGCCATTTGGGTAGAGGTATACCAGGGCCTCACTCTTGTTTTAATTCCTGTTTCTCTGGAGGCTGGTGAGCACCTTGCCATATGCTTACTGGTGGCTTCTGCAGACAAGTACCTAGGCCAGTTCTTGTTTTTGTTTTTGTTTACTGCTGGTTGCTTTGGGTTGCCTTTCCTCTCCCCCCACTTATGGATCTCCATAGGAGACCTTTGTCAGAAGATTGCAAATAGCCTCTCTCTGTGTCACCTGACTTTTCAGCCAAGAGTTTTCACACTGCAGACTTGATGGCAGAATTCTAAAACACTGGTGAAGTCTAAATTAATCTCTACTTTTTGTTTAGTTTTTTGTTATCTTTAAATAAAACTTTGCTTTTTTCTCTTGTCTCACCTAGGAGCTTTTGTGTTACCTTCAACATTTACATCTTTGATGGATCTAGAAATAGTTTTCAGTATGGTGTGAGGTAGGGAGCGTGACTCATTTATTTTCATATAGATATTGAATTACTCCAGAATGTAAAGTTCTCTGGGTGAAAACACCAACCTTTCCCCACAGTAAGGGGACAGGATCTGGGCCTGGACCTGCCTGCTCCGCTGGTTGATCCGTATACCCCAGGACTGAAACCCAGGGCAGGAAGCCACAGTGCCCAGTTGACTGGCTGTGAGTCTTGTTGGAAGGAGTTCAAGTGCTTCAGGTATCGTCCTAGGGACTGTCTCACTATTCTTTTATTTTTTTAATATTTATTTTTTAGTTGTAGTTAGAGACAATACCTTTATTTTATTTATTTTATGAGGCACTGAGGATGGAACCCAGGGCCTCACATGTGCTAGGCGAGTGCTCTACCACTGAGCCACAACCCCAGACCTGTCTCACTATCCTTTACCCTGATATTTTCCTAACACTTTTAGAATCAGTTTGTCACATCACACACACACACACACACACACACACACACACACATACACAACATAGGAACTAATAATATATTCTATGTATGGAAGATAAAATTGGGTTATGTGTCAATGCAAAAATAAAATGTACCAAAAAAAAAATAAAGTTGGTGAGAATTGATATATCTACAGCATATAAATCTCCAATCCATGAGTGTGACTTACAGCTCACTTATT